ACTATATATAAAATATGCCCGTATATATAATCTTTTTTTCCCGGGAAAATAGATGTTTATTATTTTTTTTCTTTACTAGCATTTTTTTTCTTCAAATTCCAAAGTCGTTTGAGAAAAATACAGTATTTTGTACAAATGCCAAAAATAATGAACAGAAGTGATATTTCGAATGATGAATGAATCCTGAAGAAGGCATTGCCGGTAGCAAATATCTTGCCGATCGATATGGTTCAGTCGAGGAATGACCAAGTCAATTGCATATTCTCTCGAGTTGTTGAATTTTACTTAACTTGTTCCTAGCACATGTTATTCCTTCTGATATCTTAAGTGCGAAAATGTAACGTGAGATAAAGAATTTGGTCAGTTCTCGATCTTAGTTTCCAATACCGAATATCCTCGCTTTTCCTAACAGTTTTCTTTCCGCGCAATGATCTCTCGTGACGGACGTTCAGAAAAATAGAGAAACGAAACGAAACGAGATCTCGCGACTGAACGGGGAATATTCCTGTGTGCGAATGCATGGCCCCTCGGCGGCACTCGGCGCGACGTCGTGATCACCAGTGAATTAATAATAACGAGAAAAAAAAAGAGAGACGAGTTTTTAGAAACCTATAGCGGATTATATAGATATCACATATATATTTTTGTACGTTCGCAACGCGCGTTAATTGTGTATCGACCGCGTCGAGCGCCGCCGACGAAACGCATGCAGAACATCTGTCCCTTGAAAACACGAGGAGGGATGACTTATCCTAAATCATTTGAATTTGTGCGGTGAAGTCACTTCACTTCGGATGCATCTGTGTTACGAGTAATTCGATCTCGGTCGAGGGTCAGAGAAAACTTTTCCTTACGTGGGAGAAGAGGAGAAGAGACGAGATCGAGAGCTTAATGACAAAAAGAGGTATCCATGCATTTCGAAAGGAGGGGGAACTTTTTTTTAATTATCCACACAACGCCACACATTTTGAGACACAAAAGCAAAGACAGCGGCGCGCGGCGACTCTGTGTAACTTTTGCGAGAAAGGGAGAGAGCGAGAGAGAGAGAGAGAGAGAAAAAAGAAGAAAAATTACATTCTTCCCGGGCCCAAGTAATGTTACTTAATGAGTAAACAAAAAAGAGCAACTGTGAAAGTGAGATGATGAGAGAGTGAGACAGATACTTTTGGGGAGAAAGGGTACGAGAGGAGATTGAATGATTGATCGCTATTTTTAACTCGAGAAAAATACCACTCCAAGTATTGTTGCATGCCTAGTTATATATTGTACTTGCTGCCGAGCTGCAGTCTCTCTGACACCACACAATGCATATTAAATGCTGTAAACGAAATCCGTGGAGGATCGGCGCATCGCAATGTCGGCTCGGTGGCACCGAATCGGCTCCGGTCGATCGTACTTTCGTCCTCTGCACGGCTAGGTTATTATATAATTTAACGAAGTCGTCGGATCGCTGACCGGAGCTGATCGAAATGCAACCGCGAGCCTTAGGCGACACGCGCGACACGAATTTCCTAGTCCGTAAGCGATATACGCGAATTAATTATTATCGTACGCATATATCACTAGCATGATTAAACGTGGTGTATACGTATCCGCGCGCGACGTGCGCCAATCGACGACGGTACGAATTACAAGAGGGTCCACGAATCGAGAACGAGCGTACGTATATTAATGACGAAGTTTCGAATTTCTTCGAAGATGAAGAAATGCAAAAGGAAATTCATGAGGTCATTAATATTATCAGTAAATTCAGCTCGAGAGACTCGGTCACACATTCAATGTTCGAATCTCTCAATGTAATCTCTGTTATTCTGGGCTATGTAACTCTGGAAAGTACAGTTCGAAGATAAAGATAATGGTAAAGTTATTTTGGAAAAATCCATTTCA